AAAAAAAAGACTCATTATGCAAAAGTTACAAATCAGTTTGCATTTAATTGAGTAAAATAAGTATTTGATCCTCTGCAACCCAGCCAGAATCAATCAATTAAAACACACATGTTTGGGCACCTTTCTCACAGAGAGAGGGAGAGTTGAGTTATGAAACAACAAATCTTTGTATGAGAAAACAGTCTAAATTCTGATCTAATCTAACAAAGGGGGTTCTAACAGCAGTTTTCCATTTTGGATCCGTCCAAAAACAATTACCAGAAGTCCCGTCGCTCCACAATAGTCAACTTGGGCAGGTTTTACTTTTGATTCAATTAAATAATTAAAAAAATAATGACAGCAAAATTAAAATTGAATGGATGATTTTTAGAGCTGTTTTCATCATTTCAATATAGTCTATAGTCTCCTGGATGTATAAATTGTATTTTACAAAATATTTCTCCTGTGTCAGTGTTTGAAATTGTTATGATGTCTGAAATGCTGTTTCATGCATAAAAAAGAACAATGTTTAAATACAAATAAATATATTCAACTACAAAGATCTCTGTGTGTGTGTGCTATTTTTGTCAGCACTTACATTACTCAATTTCCAAAAACACACGGTAAAATTTGTGAAATTTTCACCTCTGCAGGTGATGTTTGAATCGCTGTCAGTGCCCGGTGAAGTGAAGGTCACAAAGCCTGGTAGTTTCCCAATGAAAATGTCACTTATCCATTTCTAGTACAGAAATCAATCTGGACACATGAGCGTGGATTTGAATCAATGGCACGTGTGAGTACAAGAAAACAATGATTGGAATACAATGTGCTTAAGTTTGCTCAGATGATAGGGTCCAGCTGAAGATCAGAGGAATAGGAAAGGATTTTTCAATGTGTGTGTTTTAAATAAATTCTTCCAGTATCCATTGCAGGTGACCATTTTAAGATAAAGTATTTCTTTCTTTTTGTTTAGTTTTTCTTTTGTTGGTGTCTTGCAGTAGAAATTTCATCCAGATCCACTCAAAGTCACAGAGCTTTTACAAAGTGTTTTTCTTTTCCTGTGAACTGAATGAGGATGTTTTAAGAATTATAATGCCTAAGTTTATGCTGTACAGAAGGTTTCCGGAAACACTCCTATATAAATAAACCCACACGTTGTTTTGATTACTAGAAATGACTTACAGACTTGTTCAACTTGTGACGCTGCTCATAAGGCAGGATGAAAAAAGGCTGGCTGTGTTATGAATGATCCTTTTCTTCATCGTCTTTAAAGATTTAATTACACTGCTCATTTTCTCTTAACACTTTCTTGACAATGACCCAAAACATACAACCAAAGCAACCAAGGACATTATTAAAGCAAAGAAGTGGAATGTTCTTGAATGGCTAACACCTGATTTTAACCCAACTGTTTGGTTTTGCTTAATTCGCCTTATAATCGCGTGCTCCTTATGGTCCAAATAATATGGTAAGGTATCTTTCTTGTATAAATGTGCTCCAAATAAAGAACTTTGTGTTGACAAGATTGTTAGTTAATCATTTATAAATCAATATTGTCTGTATGGACAGCATTTTTTAAAGTAAACATGTACAGCTGCGGTGTTAAGCGATGGGGTTGAAAAATTTGGGTGCAGCTAACTTTTGTGCTGGTGCAGCTAAGAAAAAAAGTTAGGCGCACCAGTGCAACTGTGGCAAAAAGTTAGGCTAGAGCCCTGCACTGAGGTAACTTATCAGACCTTTTTGCATTTTTTAGCTTTTTGAACTGAGAAGATGGGCTAAACACTGATGGAGCTTCGTTTCAGGTGAATGCATGAAGTGGATATTAATGTTGTTGATTTGTCAATTAATCAATCAAATCTGATTAAATGTGGCAAACATCTTCAATGACAAATTTTTCTTCATGGTAAATGTGACAAAAAACTGTAAAAAACATTCTAAAAATATCAAATGTAATAAAGGTTGAATGAAAGTCATAACTCCGTTTAATTAAGTGCCCCCAAATATCAGTTTATATTTAACTGATTGACCTGCTGAACAAAGACACTTTATTGTGTTTTCACCCTACTGTCAGTTTTTGAAAGGAAATTGTTTTATAAAAAAATATCAAAATGTATCAAATTAAATAGCAATGAACCAGCTCTGTCAACCCATGAGAACCAGTATGCCACAATATTAAATATAAGTACAATTACAGAAAAAAAACCAAATTGACTAAAAGTAATATATTATTTTCATGGTCTTCAACAAGAGATTGCAAATAAACAAATAGTTTTAGTTAGCTGCCATGAATCCTTCCCTCTCAATTTGAGCCCAGAATACAAAAAATCAAACTGAATTGAAATTCTAGAACTAGATCCAGACCTTAAACAAACAAAAGATCACTGTAATAACAAAGAACATCAAGCAATAATTAGTAAGACAAAATAACAACCTGATATTAAAACTGTGCTCTTTTGTGCATATAACATATAAAAATAGTAAAATAAAAATTTGATGACCTTAAATTACAAAAAAATGAAAACAAAATTCTAGATAGTGACTATAAAAACGACTGACAAAGAACATTCACAGGAATCACAGCTGGTTTATTTAATGTTTAATTTGGTGTGTGTGGGAAGATGTTCGCATGTGGAGTTTAAAAACAGCCTCATTTTGCAGTGGAAAAAAATTGTTGTACTGCTACCTTTTGCGTCAATAGTTTGGGGGCAACAATTTTACGGCATGTTTTGCAAATGAGCACATTTTGTTCAACCTCCTCCTTGTGAAATCCTATTGACAGTAGTGTTCTTCCCTTGCTTGTCTTAAACTCCCGCTATTATCATGTTTTTCCCTAACTGGTATTTTATAAACACATTCTCAACACTGTGTAGAACATTTTCAAGTTGGAAAATGTCCAGTTGGAAAATTTTCCACTAGATTGAAGCCAACAAAATAACCATGCTACAAACGAGATATCATCAGGATGCTACAACACAGAGCGAACACCATCCCCACAGACCCAGCCAGAGAAGCAGAAGAACATCACATCAATACGGCCCTGAGTAAGTGTGATTATTCCAGCTGGATATTTTCAAAACTGCAAGGCACCCAAAGAATGATGGTGATCCAGGAGAGAAGGAGGACTGCTGCCTAAGAGAAAACCCTTACTAATGTCTTATCAGAATCAGAATCAGAAAAGTTTATATTTTTAAAGGTTGAGCAGATTTACAATATTAGGAAATCGCTGCTGTACTTAAACTTTAAACTGTAAAACACACTTTAAGACAAACACTTAAAAAAAAACTAAACATAAAATTTAAAAAGCAGATTGATATATACATGAATGCAGGTGATGATCAGTGCAAAAACGCCAGCACAGCTGAAACAGACGTCAGCGCGAATCGCATGTCCGCCATTACCTGCCCGAAACCGGAAGTGTCGCCATTTTTGCAGAAATCTGTGGTGTTTTTAAAAGTCATGTTTGATTTTATGCTTTTATTTATAGTTTCTGGGATGCTTAGAACTCAAATTGCACTGCTGGAAATTGTTTATTTTGATGCACATGCTGTTTCTTTGCAAATTTGCATTATAATACTTTTTTCTTCGTTTTTCCTGCAATATATAAAAATTGGTGTATCTCAAAAATAAAGCTATGAAAACACTCAAATAAATTTCCTGTCGTTGGAAACTATTTTGTGCAACTTTTTTCTATTTACAGTTTTGAGGAATAAACCTCTGAAATTAAATTAAACCAGAAATATATGTAAAAAACCAAAAACGATTTCAATTTTTTTGTTGTTTATTTATTTATTTATTTTTGCAATTTATTATACACTTAATGCATACATATAATTAAAGTTTGGGCTATAATGGTTGTATTGATGTATAGCAACTTGAAATGCTCCCAAAAATGGCACTACAGCATGTAAAAATATAAAGATAAGCTCTGGCGGACTTGGTTCTATGGTAGGTCTTAAAGGGTTGAAGAATTTGAAAAAGCATGTACAAACTGACATTAGTCTTTAATAGGGCGTGTCAAAATTGAGAGCAAACAAAAAACTGCAGTATAACGCCCCTGGCTATTACTTTGGTAATTGAGTGGTAATACATTACAAGCTTACAATATAATACAAAACGTTCTTCTGCCTTGTTAATCTTTGATTAACACTTTATCATCGAGCTATAATATAAAGTACTACCGAAATGATAAATCTGTTTAACATAATAAATACAGTGTGAAGCTGCTTGCTGAGCACAGAAACATTTTCATAGTTCATTCTTAATTGGAACATGTGTGAATGAGTGTGAAAACAATGAAAAATTAATAGAATAAGAACTCAATCGCAGGCAAAAATTAAGCCTGGTTCCTTTACTCACAACTATAAATTGAAGTATCCTCAATGTCGAGAGCTATTAATGAATAATCATTCTTAATAAATAATAAAATATTTATTTTACAGACACTGATAGAAGGCAAGACATAAGATATTTAAGCAATGCATTTTTTTACTCTGAAGGTAACGTGGAAGATGTGTTAATCTTTATTTCAGCAATGAATGACTTTGACTTTGACTTTTGACTTTGAATAAATTATGAATTGTGCTAGAGAGTCTTCAATTTGTTCTAATGAACTCACTATACATGTAGGTTTAAAAAGGAGAGAAATGTTCATGCCTGTCTGAGAAAAGTGTATAAAGTATAGTGAGGGGTTTTACAGCCTTAAAACATCTATAATATTTGTAAAAATAAAATAAAGGTGACTACTTCACAGATTTCACCTATCGTGGGTTATTTTTAGAATGTAACAAACAAGGGACATAGTGATTATAGTATAACACCCTTCAAAGATGATGAGTTGAAACTTTTGCAACAGATTAATTCGTTTGATAATGAAAACCTATTCTACTGCAATACTGACAATTCTTGCAGGATTGCAGGGTATATTGCTTGGGGTTTGGTGCTCATATTTCTGAAAATGAACTGGGAGGCACTTGTTTCCAACCTTATCGCACGCAACAATAACAGGCCTCTGGCTCGAGTAACATTAATTTTACGACCCTTGTTGGTTTTCTTAATTGTGACCTCATAAATCAGCATTTCTGAGTTGCTGATACACAAGTTGCCTGCGTAGGTAACTGAGTCAGCCAAGCGACGACCATCACTGCTGCAGATCCTGTCGACATTCCACTCACTGTCACTGATGAAGGACTGCACTGGAGTTCGGCACCAGAGGCCTTCCTTTTTCAAATACCTGTGGAATAAATCAAGATTCCATTGCACAATAATAATAATAATTATAATAATCATCATCATCATCATCATTACTATTATAGTTATTATTATTATTATTATTACATAGTAGAGAGTAAGTCAGAGTAAGCAAACAAAGTGTAGAGAAATAGAAGAATCAAATGAACTTCACACAGTTTCAGGCTTTTTTGTGTTTAACTTACCTTTTCCAAGCATCTAGAGAATTTCTGTCAAAGCTGTCATGGAGGATGTGATTTTTGACAAATTTGTTGTATTTGTATTCTGAGCTTTTGTTGTAACAGGGGAATGTTGGATATTCAGTCATGTTGATGGCCCAGGGGAAAAAGGATGCAGTGAAGATGATGGCAGTCAAAATGTTTATGCTCATTTTACTTGTACTGAAAGAAAGAAAGCACCCAAAACACAGATAGTTACATAAGAGTGGTATTTTTAAAAATCTTTGTAGCATTTTAAGATCACATTGTAATATTAGCATTGTAATGTGCCACATTAAGTCAAAGCAAAATTTCCAGGGTCAACAATGATCATGTTATCACAATGCACACTGCTGAACCAATGCATATGGAGGCCTAGTCACAGAGCACAGCATTATCAATACTGTGAGGCAAGGACTTGGATGTGTAGTTGGCAGGGCTGGACTGGGACAAAATATCGGCCCGGGCATTTTGCCTAGAGACCGGCCCACCAGGTACTATAGGAAAAGCCATAAAGCCTTTGAATGAAAACAAACGCTGTTGTGACAGCATTTGTTTTCATTGTGTGATGTATGTATGATTTCTATACATTTTACATCAGATAAAAACCTTGGTTGTAAGATTCAGATAATTATTTAATAAAAGCTAGACATTTTAATAAGAAAGAAAAGTATTTCTTTGTGCCCCCCTTTCCCTGTTAATGCCCTACCTGGCCCCTGGCAAAACTTTGCTAGACCCGCCCCTGCACAGTTACCAGCTGTCAGCTACATAAAAAAGGATCCTGGTGTTATTTGTCTCTCAGAAACAGTTCATAACTTCCCTTCAACTCATTCATGTCACCTAAAAGGTAAACCTGTTTCTCCATCACAGCTCTGATGATTCATTAAGGACATCTCCTGGTTTCATCTTCATTTTTTCCCTCTCACCACATATACAAACCGACATCATGACCAGCAGGTTTACAGCTGTGGCTCCAGCAAACATCAGCTGATACTAGAAATTAATATTAAATAAATTCTAACAACAGCTGATCAAACTTAAATGCTCTGCTGTTGTTTAGCGCGACATCCGCTGGTTTTCTCTATCTGGCGCAAAGTGGGCGATAAATAAACAAGAGAGAAAAGCCGATCAGCTGATCACTGATTTCACAGTGGGTTCACCCAAAACCTTGGCTGATTGTGTTCTACACCTATTTTCACACCTTGGCGCCGGTGATTTGGTAGGAGATCAATAGGGGGCCCATGTCCCTCTTGGGAACACTCCCATAGGGCTTAAAGTCTGGGACTCTCCACCAGTGGCTGTATAACTGAAGAAGCTTCTCAGATGAGAGGTGAAACGTCTTCAAGCAACCTAAAAAAGGATTTTAAATTTGATCCTGGATTTAACAGGGAGCCATTGAGGAGAAGCCAATAATGGAGAAAAAACAATTAGATGTGGGTTTACTGTATGCTGGAGGCTTATGTTTAGAACCACTGTCTATGCTAACTTCACCCATACTGTCTGCCGAGGCCGATTTAGTAAGCTACATGATTTTGCAAGTTTATCCATCCATCAATCCATTTTCTCTCACTTATCCAGGCCTCATCTCCAGTCTTATTCTTTATGCTGGCATTGTGTTTCTTAATAGTAAACCTAGCAAACCATTTATGCAGATCCACCTATCAGCTTTTGCATTTGTGTTTTTCATGTATTTTATATGAAACACTTCTGCTTTATAAATAAACTAACAGAAAGATGACAAAAGGCCGTAAACTGGTAAAATTGCAAACATTTGCGTAATAATTAAAATAGTTTTCTTACCTGTTCAATCAGATAGATGCTATTTATTGTCAGCGTAACTGTTGTAGTACGAGGAGATATGAAGTTTTACTTTCTGACAAAAGTTCAGAAATGCTTCTGCTTTTTAAACCTGCTCTCGTCTTATCTATGCTAGCACACAACCAGTCATCACAAGAGCAAGCAGCCACTCACAGTTCTGCAATCTTACCACTCAGTATATAGCATGTGGTGATGATCATTATCAGTAAATTAGTGTGAAGTAGGCCAACACGTGACTACGTCTTGACCAAAACTGACAGCACCCAATAGCGGGAATGCTATTTGTGTAAAAAAAAGAGTTCAGTCTAGTGAGAACACATTGTAAGCGTGAAATTAGTTGTTATCATGCATGTTATCCACACATATAGTTATTATAGCTTTATTTTATACAAATGACTAAAAAGCCATAATGCCGATACAGTTTTCTTGTAATATGTTGTTTCTGGACAAACAACATATTACAACTCGATGTAAACTGTAATATCACTGGCTTGGAAAAGCAAACAGACACAACAGTCCCGATAAGGTGACAAGAAAACCAAAAAAACAAAAGAAAAAAAACCCCAGACTAATTATTTCAGATCTTTCTTATTTTTCATTACCAGTAAATTAGCGTGCAGGGAAACATGGGGCCATTTCCTGATACAAATTGGGTGTCGGAAAATGATCAGTGCTATTTGTGTATATGAAGAAGTGCAATCTTGTAGTGTACGTGTGAAATTTGCTATCTGGGTCACTGTGGGTGAAGCATAACACAGAAAAATAGGAAGCAGCTAGCCTTTGCTTATCATGAGGTAGTTGCTTGTGCGCATGTGTCAACAAGCAGGCAGCTTGTTTCAGTTACTCCTGCTGTCAAAACTCCCCTGTTTTGCTCTTTCTTGGGTGGTGCATGAGTGAGGGCCATTTTCTTGTTTCGTTCAATCCTTGCCTAGACTTAGAACGTAACAGTACTTAAGAGTGTAGTCTGCATTTTTGTAATTTTGCACATTTAATCATCACTTGTTTTTGTTGTGTTTGGTGGTTGTAGATATGGTTTATCTACAACCACCGAATTTATACCAAATTTCCCAGAGGAACCCACCCGAGGGATTAATAAAGTTTTATCTTATCTTATCTTATCTCTTAGTATTTAGCTGAGATTTCTGTGGCTACTACACGTGTTGATATTTGTCATGATGATATTTGTTCATAAAAGGCATGGAGGGTTACAAGCTTAACAAGCTAAGAGACATAACACTTCCTCACATCCTCCTCACAGGAAGGTGGCCTTAATCATAAATCTGCTGTTATGGTATGCCCCTTCTTTAACTCTACAGCTCACCCGTATATGGCTTCACTTTAATGGTACACCGTATAAAAGCATAGGCATGCCCCTAAATGGCTGGAAGTAAACATTCCTTATCAAATAAGGAAACCAGAGTCTTCACATGGAATGTGCCTGCAGTAAACACTATAGCTATAACCTCCCCCACCATCTGATATGTAGGGGAGGAGTATAGAAACAGAAGAATATCTTTAATCATGCACTTTACAAGTTTGCAATCTTAAGCTTAAGTTTAGTGTGTTACTGTTATTCAGGGCTGGACTGGGACAAAAAATCGGCCCGGGCATTTTGACTAGAGACCGGCCCACCAGGATAAAGATTGAAAATGTGACGTCATTCAGGGGTAAAACCGCAAAGGATTCTGGGAACTTGTGGCAAGAGGTACTAGCGATAAAAAGAAACCCAAAAAATGCCAAGAAGCTGTTGTATTATTAACTGCAATAGCTGGTCGCATGACAGCCACGGGAAGCCGACGGGTAAAGAGATCGTTTTTTGTTTTTTTATCGGATTACGTTGTTGAAGAGAAATTTTTTAAGCCATGTTTCCGAAGTAAGAGCCGACAGATGGTCTGGATATACCAAATATAACGTCTCAGAACACTCCAGCTCACAGGTTAGTCTGCTCCAAGCATTCCCACAAACGTCAGAGTTTTGTAGTAGTTAATACGTCATTTTTCTTAACATAATTGGTGATATAGGTTACAAGCAAGTCTGGCGCTGAACAGAAATTGTCGCGCTATGCTCCTTAATTTATTGTGTTTATTGTGCATAAATAGTGAATTGTCCTGACACAATATTGCGTTTCACTTCTATTATTATGGTACATTGACAAAAACATATACTTTTATTCACAGGATAAAACAGTTGTTTTGTATCACTAATTGTCCAGTGCGATTACAACATACAATATTATTGTCATTGCTACATTTCTGTAATGCTACCAGAAATTATTTCCACTACTAATTAATTACCGTTGAGCTCAAAGGTTATATTAATAAACGGTTAACGAATGTGTATCTATGACGACGATTTGTAAGACTGGTAAACTTACCTTTGTTCGTACGATAGTCTGTCGTTCTACACGGTGCATTTCAAGGTCCTGCACCCATCCGTCGGTAAACTGTACCTGGGCTTATTGCAGTGACCTGAAGTTACTAAACTTCATGAGTGTATGCACTCACTCCAAGAACCGTATAATTATAAATATGAGCGTGGTGAAAGTTGGGCAGCACGCTGACGTCTTTTGTCCCTCTGTGTGCTCGTAAGGGTCTGACCCTTTCACTCCTTTGATTTTTCCTGGTATCTTTTCTTTGTCTTTTCGTCGAGTCTGTCTTTGTACGGACCGGCATTGTTCTCCTTTTGTTTTGTACATTCCTTTTTTGTGCGGCAAAGAAAAAACAAGGTGGTATTGGAACCGGAGAATGAACGTTTTGCGGTGCTGCAAATGCTTGCATTTGATGCGGTACTTGGATTGTTTTGCCACGAGTTCCCGGCATGCAATGTGCGAAAATCACGTGATTGCTAAACAAGGGGGAGGGTGCATCCGGCCTCCTCGGCTGTAATTGGTCCAGCCCAGAGTCGATCATGACCAATTGGCCAATCCAACACCTGTCATTATATACACCCTTCCTAAAAAAAAAAAAAAAAAAATCCATCGGCCCATAAAAACAAAAAATCGCCAGCGGCCTACCGGGCAAATGCCCGGTATGCCCGATGGCCAGTCCAGCTATGCTGTTATTCCTTGGAGCAACTGTAACCCACATGATTAAAGTATTCTGATTGTGATTCTGACTTTGATAGTTCACACAAATGTTCAATAACATAAAACTTTTTTGACTCAAAGCTTTTTGTCAAGTACTTATTGACACTAAAGCAGGGTTTTGTGATTATGGGCAAATATGGCTGTAAGTTACAGCTTGACCGGTTGCTTGTTTGCTTGACTGGAAGGTTTTTTAATGTGGTTTTAAGGTTTTAAAGCTTTTGTGTGTGTATGTTTCATCAACCATTTCCCTTGTAAAAATGTAAGATGGTAGGGTTAACTTAAAAGTAACACTTCCTCTATGTGTTGAATATACTTCTGTATTTTATGATTAGTCAGCCAGTTAAGAATATGATACTGATCTCATCTCACTGCTACTGTGTCTTGTGCAAAAATACGACAAACATTTTAACTGCATTTTCCTTCCTTTTTGCATTCAAAGATAACCATAGCTTTTAATGAGCATTAGTGGACAGAAAAAACAACACTGCACCACACCAGATTACACAAGTTTCTGATATGTTTATTTGTGGAACTGTAAGGATATCAGAAGTTCCTGGTAATGTAATGGTAATGAGGGTTTTATATTTAATTGAAATAAAAGCTGGAGAGTCAGAAGAGCTGATGAACATTTTACCAAGAGAAGAATATGTGCCTAAAGTTTATTTAAAAAAAAAAAAGGAAGTTCAGAGGACGGTCAGAGTAGCTATAGCAAGAAACAGCCTTTAAAACAGAAACTGATTCACAGTAATGTCAAATCCCCAGCCTCAAAACATATGAGCCAAGGCCTGGTCTCGTCTGGTTGTGCTAACTTATTTAACTGACAAACGCTGAAACTTAAATACACCTCATGTATATGTTTCAATTTTCACAAACCAAAATCAACAGTGTACAAATTAAAAATAAATTGGCTGAGGACATAGTGACCACAAACATTTGCATGCGTACGTCTAACAGCAAATATACCGTTTCCTGTTACACTTCTTTCTTTAATAAACAGGAAGAAAGGGAACTCAAAGTTACACAATTCTGTTTCGAGGATACAAAAAAAAAATCCCTCAGTTTTTCTTACAAGTGGGAGTGGTCATACAGTCAAAAACACAAGTACAAACCAAGTAGCTCCAAAATCCAAATATTAGACAGCTAGTTAGAAGTGCTCATCAATCAGATGTTTCTTTCATAGATTAAATATTAGAAATGTGGAATCAGCATTTGTTATTGAAATCTGTGTGATTATTATTTCAATAATGGACCAAAAAGAAAACTAAATTCATAATTAGCACTAACACCAACCAAAGTCACTGAATTTAGAAATGTATCTTAACTCATCATGAAATTTTAATAATCAGTATAGCAACAAGCAAAGTTTGTCACAGAATCATTGGTCTGACTGTGGAAAGCTATTCTACCACAATACTGAAATTCCTTGCAGGACTGCAGGGTATATTGCTTGCTCTCTGCTGTTCATATTTCTGAAAATGAACAGGGAGACATTGGTTTCCAACCTTGTCGCATGCCACAATCACAACCCTTTTCTTTGCACCAATTTTAATTTTACAATCCTTGTTGCTTTTTGTGGATATGACTTCATATATCAGCATTTCTGAGTTGCTGATGCACAAGTTCCCTGCATAGTTATCCGTCTTGCTTAAGCGTCGACCGTCTCTGCTGCAGATTCTGATCACGTTCTCCAGATCACTTTTATTGAGGAACGATTGCACTGTAGTTCTGCACCAGAGGTGTTCTTTTTTCAAATACCTGCGTTAATAGATCAATAATTCAGTACATATTATCACATCATGGATAGTACGCCAGTTTTCAGCTTGCTAAACAACTTCTGCTTAGTTTTCAATATTTTCTAATGTTCCCAGTGTTACAATTCCTCTAATAGGTAACAATATGCACTCATAAACACTAAGCCTCGATGTGGAGCAGGATACAGAAATCTGTTCGCTTATTTGTAACACAATTCCTCCACAACATTATTACTTTAAACCTTCTAGTTTCTAGACACATAAAATGCTGAGTTTAATGACATCACATGAAGATGCTCATAAAGCAGCACCGTGTGGTGTAGCAGCATGTAACCCTCTGGAGCCTGTAAGCTGTTACTTTAAAGGTTGTTTCCTACTGCACACAATAAAACTAAACTTTTTTGAATGATGTACTTTTAATTTACCTTTTCCAAGCATCTAGGGAATTTCTGTCAAATTCCTCTTGAAGGATGTGTCTGCTGAGAAATTCTTTATAATGACTTTTGGGGCTTTTGTCCTGACACGGTGATGAAGGCTCTGCAATCATACTGCTGCCTCCACCAATAAGGGCTACAGTGACAATGATGGTGATCAAGACAATGAATCTCATTTTATCTGCAGTGAAAAGAGAGAAGGCAACAATCTTATGAGGCTGAAAAGAAGGCAACAGGACTTGGAAGATGTTTCACCTCACTGAAGAGGCTTCTTCAGTTACATGTTTGTTCCATGATAGGGTGAGACAAGGTCTCACAGTGGCTCATTTAGTGATGCACATGATTAAAAGTGGGTCAACAACCCTCTGAAATGCACACCCCTTTACTTTTGTAATAGTCTTTATTTAGGTGTCAGTCTGTCATCGGTTAGCTGACTGCAGCTGGTCCAAAACACTGCAGCATGGTTACTAACTGAACACATGCAAGTGAGATTACATATGTTCCATACTAACATCCTTACACTGACTGCCAGTCAGTTTTTGCATTAACTTTATGATTTTATGATATTATTATTATTATTATTATTATTATTATTATTATTATTATTATATTAGCACACTCATACCTTTTGAACTGGTACAGTCCTGCAAGATCAATGAGGTCTGTGGACCAAATGCTCCTAGCTTTCCCGAGGTCCAGATTAGTGAAGAAAGGAGTGAAGAAGCCTTTTCTGTGACTGCTCCTAAACTGTGGAACAAACTTCGCGTTCAAATCATGACTTCCTTAACATTAGACAGCTTCACAACCAACCAAATCACAACCAAATCAAGAAAAAAGTATCAAGAAAGTATGAGCCAGGAGACATTAGTCATCTTACCTTTCTTTGTTGTTGTGCTGTGGAGAACTGATAATCCTGTTGCTCTACTGTGTTAGAATTACTGCAGACGTCTTTACCCACTTCCTCTTTTTATCTTTTAGTCAACAGGAATCAAAATAGTCGAAAGGCAAAGAAAAGGAAGCAAAAACAGTGCATCATCAAAAAGTACTGCAGTGCAAATGGAGTGATTTCAGGTTATGAGTATATGAAACTGAACCTGTTTAATTTTCTCACATTACTACTGTACCAGACCTTGAGGAGACTAACTAACTGTATTATAGGCATACCAATGTGGGTGTACATATGTAGTTCACCAGTACTGGGATGCGATGTCTCTTCATGCTGGTTCTGCTGGTTTATCAAAACTCTGAAACATATCATTAGTCTGGCTGTGGAAAGCTATTCTACCACAATACTGAAAATATTTGCAGGACTGTAGGGTATATTGCTTGGGGTTTGGTTCTCATATGAACAGGGAGTTAGAGAGACAGAGACCGATGAACAGGTACAGGTGCTCTAGTCTGTTAGAATTTCTGCACTAAGATTTTCTGTCTTCCTCAGTTAGTATTTTAATTAAGACTAATAATCTTCTCCCAGATGAAAAAACACAATAAAGCTAGTCCAAAATCAAGGCAAGATTTTCTGGGTCAACAATGATGCACATTCCTGAGGTATGGAAGTCTGGTCACAGAGCACAGCATTACCAACACTGTGAGGCAAGGGCTTGGGTGTGTAGTTGGTAGAATGAAAAGTGGGATTCAGAGGAGAAGGTGATGATTTTGACTTTTTTTCTTGGTATTCGTTCGATTGAAAATTTTGTATTTCATATTGTAGTGATTGATATAAAGATAATCTAAGTCATTTCTTAACATAAGGCTTGTTTTGCTAAACAAGTCTAACAAAGACGTCAAGGTGACTTCAAGAGAAATATCAAGCTGACATCGAGGTCACATCCCATGCTTGGGACAACTTTCATTTTGGAACAATTTTTCAGACATAACAAAACCTCTTCACAAATCAATATGTTATCTTGGTGGAGGGGTTTGTACAATGGTTTGCAAAAGTATTCGGCCCCCTTGAACTTTCCCACATTTTGTCACATTACAGCCACAAACATGAATCAATTTATTGGAATTCCACGTGAAAGACCAATACAAAGTGGTGTACACGTGAGAAGTGGAACAAAAATCATACATGATTCCAAACATTTTTTACAAATAAATAACTGCAAAGTGGGGTGTGTGCGTAAGTATTCAGGCCCTTTTGGTCTGAGTGCAGTCAGTTGCCCATAGATATTGCCTGATGAGTGCTAATGACTAAACAGAGTGCACCTGTGTGTAATCTAATATCAGGACAAATACAGCTGCTCTGTGACGGCCTCAGAGGTTGTCTAAGAGAATATTGGGAGCAACAACACCATGTAGTCCAAAGAACACACCAGACAGGTGTGTTATTGAGAAATGTAAAGCAGGCTTAGGCTACAAAAAGATTTCCCAAGCCTTGAACATCCCACGGAGCACTGTTCAAGCAATCATTCAGAAATGGAAGGAGTAGTCAAGTCAAGTCAAGTCAAGTTGGCTTTATTGTCACTTCAACCATATACAGTTTAACAGTACACAGTGAGGCGAAACAACGTTCCTCCAGGAACCAAGGTGCTACATGCAACATAAATTTACAACATAAATTAACAGAAAACACTAAACTAGCTAACTAAGAGGCCTAGTTAGCTGGCTAGCAGAGACAAGACAGACTGACCTAACATAAATGACAACATAAATTAACCCTTTACAGCCGATCGGAGCGGGCACGCTCTGTTTTGCGTAACTATTTTTAAATCCCGGTAGCACTGCAACCACGTAAGCTAGCGCAAAAATTTTTTTGCATATGAAACCGGAGGAGTTGTACTTACATCTTATGCCATCAGCTTGTCCTAGGTCACGGTTTCCTTCCACATAAAGCTTTGCAAAAACTGCATAAAAAGCGCTTGCAGGAACAAAAACATAATATTCCAGAAACACGCTTTACCGATCCGATCAGCTGTTCATAACACTTCCTACGTTGGAATAGACGTCAGCGCGAACTTTTGCATTTCCGCCATTACCTGCCCGAAACCGGAAGTGACGTCATTTTCGCGGAAATGTAGTCTTTTTTTTACTATCAGGGCCTCAGGGCCTATACTCGTCTTTTTAAAAGTTATCTTTGACTTTATGACTTTCTGTGTCGTTTCTGGGATGCTTAGGACTCATATTGCACTGCTGGAAATAGTTTATTTTGATGCATATGCTGCTTTTTTGCAAATTTGCAGTATAATATTTATTTTCGTTTTTCCTGCAGTGTATAAAAATTGGTGTATTTCAAAAATAAAACTATGAAGACACTTAAAATAAATTTCCTGTGGTGGGAAACTATTTTGTGCAACTTTTTTGTATTTACAGTTTTGAGGGATAAGCCTCTTAAATTTCTCTAACTACAAATATATGTTAAAAAAGCAAAAACGATTTTCAATTTTTTTGTAGTTTATTGCACTTTTTTGCAATTTATGTAATTACTATGCACTTAATGAATACATATTATTAAAATCTGGGCTATAATGGTTGTATTGATGTATAGCAACTTGAAATGCTCCCAAAAATGGCTCCACAGCATGTAAAAATATAATATAAGCTCTGGTGGACTTGGTTCTATGGTAGGTCTTAAAGGGTTAACAAAAAAAAACAAAAAAACAAAAAAAAACCTAACTGTGTATGGCACAACTGTAAACCTACCAAGACAAGGCCGTCCACCTAAACTCACAGGCCGAACAAGGAGAGCGCTGATCAGAAATGCAGCCAAGAGGCCCATGGTGACTCTGGACAAGCTGCAGAGATCTACAGCTCAGGTGGGGGAATCTGTCCATAGGACAACTATTAGTCGTGCACTGCACAAAGTTGGCCTTTATGGAAGAGTGGCAAGAAGAAAGCCATTGCTAACAGAAAACCATAAGAAGTCCCGTTTGCAGTTTGCCACAAGCCACGTGGGGGACACAGCAAACATGTGGAAGAAGGTGCTCTGGTCAGATGAGACCAAAATGGAACTTTTTGGCCAAAATGCAAAACGCTATGTGTGGCAGAAAACTAACACTGCACATCACTCTGAACACACCATCCCCACTGTCAAATATGGTGGTGGCAGCATCATGCTCTGGGGTGCTTCTCTTCAGCAGGGACAGGGAAGCTGGTCAGAGTTGATGGGAAGATGGATGGAGCCAAATACAGGGCAATCTTGGAAGGAAACCTCTTGGAGTCTGCAAAAGACTTGAGACTGGGGCGGAGGTTCACCTTCCAGCAGCACAACGACCCTAAACATAAAGCCAGGGCAACAATGGGATGGTTTAAAACAAAACATATCCATGTGTTAGACTGGCCCAGATCTAAATCCAATCGAGAATCTGTGGCAAGATCTGAAAACTGCTGTTCACAAACGCTGTCCATCTAATCTGACTGAGCTGGAGCTGTTCTGCAAAGAAGAATGGGAAAGGATTTCAGTCTCTAGATGTGCAAAGCTGGTAGAGACATACCCTAAAAGACTGGCAGCTGTAATTGCAGCAAAAGGTGATTCTACAAAGTATTGACTCAGGGGGCTGAATAACTACGCACACCCCACTTTGCAGTTATTTATTTGTAAAAAATATTTGGAATCATGTATGATTTTCGTTCCACTTCTCACGTGTACACCACTTTGTGTTGATCTTTCACGTGGAATTCCAATAAAATTGATTTATGTTTGTGGCTGTAATGTGACAAAATGTGGAAAAGTTCAAGGGGGCCGAATACTTTTGCTGTCCACTGTATGTCCCAGGGATCCTAGAAGCAATGTTGTCTGGGGGCTTTTGCCTGGGATAGGGTTACCAGGGCTCCGCCCTGGAGCCAGGCCCAGGGAGGGTGCCCGAGAGCGAGCGTCTGGTGGACGGGCCTTAGTCCATGGGGCCCAGCTGGGCACAGCCTGAAATAGGGACATGGGGCCATCTTCCTGCAAGCCCACCACCCGGAGGAGGCACCTTAGGGGTCCAGTGCATTGCGAGCTGGGCGGCGGCCAGGTGCGGAGGTCCTGGCAGACCGATCCCCAGCTACCAAGACTGGCAATTGTGACATGGAATGTCACCTCTCTGGTGGGGAAGGAGCCTGAGTTAATGCGTGAGGTTGAGGTGAAAGGTACCGGCTTGATATAGTCAGGCTCACCTCAACGCACGCCTTGGGCTCTTGAAACAGTCTCCTGGAGAGGGGCTGGACTCTGTCTCAGTCTGGAGTTGAGGCGGCGGGCTGGGTATTCTGGTATCCCCTTGGCTTGCTGCCTGTATGTTAGGGTTTCTCCGGATCGGGGAGCGGGTCCTGACCGTCGTCTGTGCTTATGCGCTTAGTGGCAGTTCAGAGTACCCAGCCTCAAAGAGATTCTGCCTCAAAGAGATTCTGGCAAACCACCAGGCAACTCAGGAGGAGATTGAAGGCTTTTCAGGGAGTTTTCAGTACAGTAACAGCCTCGAGAGGGCAACAAAAAACAAAACAAAATAACTTTCTTATTCGTTCATTACCAGTAAATTAGTGTGAAGGGAAACATATGACCATTTCCTAACACAAGTTGACTGTGGCTAACATCCCAAGTGTTATTTGTGTATTTGAAGAAGTACACTCTTGTACTATATGTGTACTATATGTATGTGACATTTAAAATCTGGGTCACTGTGGCTGAAGCATAATGCAGAAAAATAGGAAGCACAGCAGACATCAGCTAGTCTTTGCTTACCATGAAGTAGTCCACACAAATGCCCAATAACATAAAACACTTTATAACTTTTATGACTTAAACATACAAGAGAAGATTGTAACTATGTTTTTTTTTTTCAAGTACTTATTGCCACTAAAGCAGAGTTTTGTGATTATAAACAAATATGGATGTAAATTAAGTTTAATTAAGCAAACCAAAATCAAGACTGTGTTGCTGTGCTACACTACTTTATCTAATAAACAGGAACAAAGTTACACCATTCTGTTTTTGTGGATACAAATAAAAAAAACATCAGTTT